GGTGGGGAGGGTAGCTGGGGTTAGGAGGGCCACTTTGAGTCTGGAGAGATTATGCATGCAGTTTTGTCTGAGGATTTGACCTGGGGTGGAAGTGTCACTAGTAGCTTTTATACCTATCTCTAAATCCAATAGGAACACACTTTGTGAATAAACCCAAATGGTTGTGTTTAGAACAAGTGAGGAGCAATAAGTCCCATGCAATCCCAAAACAGCAAGCTTTGCATAAGTCCTTCTCAATCTTCCAGGTCTAAAGGGTTATAATCTTCTTCGTCAACATGTTAACAGTGCCCTCTGGTGTCTGGCAGCAAAACAACGGGCTTATGAATACAGAGTATGAGCATATCCACTGATGGCAAACTGTCTCTGAAGGTGGGGAAGAAAGGTTAATAAGACAGACAAGTTCTTGCCTGTGAGGGACTTCCAATCTAGTGGGAGAGGCAGACCCACAACTGTAGGAATGATGGAGAATGACATGGATACAACAGGGATACAAGCATAGGCCAGTGAGAAAGCCTAGGGATGAAGAAGTGACCCTTATGCTGGTTTCAACAGGCTGAGGATGGAAGTTAGGACTCTCCAGGCCAAGAACCCCAGGCCTAGGGTCCAGTATTCCAGGGAAGCCAGGGAGGAATGACCATGGCTAGGGTGTCTTGGGAGATGCAGCTGTGTAGGGCCTTATTTGTGGAAGGCCTCAGATGCCAGTCTCAGCGGGGCCACCCTAAACAAAGAGATAGCAGATGTTTTATGGTAATTGGTAGAAGGAAAAAGGGTGGCTGTGTCAGTGAAGCAAATGGGCACAGGAAACTGGGCAGACAGAAGGTTTTTGCTGCAGTCCTGTGAGGCAAAGTGTTTGAGCTGAGCACTGGCGGTGTGGCACTGGGAAGGAGAGGAAGACAAACAATTGAAAAACAGTCCAATCAACAAGAAAGAATGTGGCTGAGCAGAAAGGGAAGCAGAAGGAAATTCTGAGGTTTCTGGTCTTAGCTATGAACAGTAATTAATTCTAATAAACACATCAGTTATGAAAACATGTATTTAATATATATAAGATAATGAAGCATTCAATCCCTATATTGGTCAGCTGCCCCCCCAAAAAAGTATATATATATGTGTGTGTGTATATATATATATATATATATATAGAGAGAGAGAGAGAGAGAGAGAGAGAGAAAGCTTGGGGCATCTTGTAGTGCCATAAAACAAAGAAGTGCTCAAAACCAAAACAAAACATACAATGATGGGGATATGTGAAAAGGACACAGGGGCACTCAATGGCCAAAACTGGGAGAATTTTCCCCCCAGGCCCCTGCTGGAACAATCTGAACAACAAAATAAAGTAGTATTGGATTATAACCCAAATTATAATATACATATCCATAAATCCATACTGATATGAACAAATGATTGAATAAATAAATCAATGGGAGAGAATAGGTAAACCTCCCACACAGAAGAATTCCAAATAATTTATGTAGATACTCCATCCTGCATAAATCCTCACTCCTTAATTGTGGGCTACACATAGTGACTTCCTTCCAAAAGTTACAGTATGGAAAGAGGGAAAAAGAGTAACTTTACAGTGGAGAAGACTGACAAACACTACCTCAGTCAGATAATCAAATTTAACATCAACAGTGATAAGTCATGTTGATAATATGTAACTCTGATGTGATGAAAAAGGCACTTTACCTGTACGGTCTTCCTTCCCAAAACTCATATCTCCAGTCTAATCATGAGAAAAACATGACAAATCCCAACTGAAGGACATTCTACAAAATACCTGACCAGTACTCCTCGAAATTATCAAAGTCATCAAAAAAAAGGAGAGTCTGACAAACTCTCTAAGCCAAGAGGAACCTAAGGAGATATGATGATTCAATGCAATGTGGTATCCTGGATACGATCCTGGAACAGAAAAAAGACATCAGGTAAAAACTAAAAGAAAATCTCAATATAGTATGGACTTTAGCTAATACTAATGTATCAATATTGGTTCACTAATTGTGACGAATTTACCATATGAATGTAAGATGTTAACAATAGAAACTGGGTTTGGGATATATGGGGACTTTCTATACAATCTTCACAATTTTTCTGTAAATCAAAAACTATTCTAAATTAAAAGTTTACTTAAGAAAAAGCCAGTTATTTAGCAGAGAATGATTGATTAGGCCCAGATGAAGAATAAAACATTTCAAAGTTGGACTTTCCAGCCTACAAGAATGGGGTTAGATATTAACATCAACAGAGTTAAAGTACATAGAGTAAGAAATAGTTAATAGGTGTGTGCGCGCGCACGTGTGTACATGCACATGCACTGTCCTGCTATTAAGCAGGCACCCATAAGGCTAACTGTACACAGAGTTAAGGCAGTTGAATTTCTGGGTGACAAAACGCTCCTCTGCCCCTCTGCCACAAACTCTACCTTCCACTCACTGAAGCTGGAGTCAAGGGCCATAACTTTCATTTAAGATGGTGTTTCTCCCACTTGAATAGTATACAAATGGACTCCTTTTAAAGGAAAAGATACTACTACAGTTCTCTAAAAATATGCCTGGTGACCCAAGTTATAGAAAATCTGGGTTAAGGGCCGGCCTGTGGCTCACTCGGGAGAGTGCGGTGCTGATAACACCAAGGCCACGGGTTCGGATCCCATATAGGGATGGCCGGTTTGCTCACTGGGTGAGCATGGTGCTGACAACACCAAGTCAAGGGTTAAGATCCCCTTACCGGTCATCTTTTAAAAAAAAAAAAAAAAGAAAGAAAATCTGGGTTAAGAAACCAAAGTCTTAATCTAGGAAGTATCTTTCAGTTGTGAATAATC